ATGTGGGAGGAAAGCCCGAAGTGATGCAGGTTTCAGACGTTTACCACTTCGGTGAAACCCAAGAGCGCGGGTATGGTGCTGACAAACCTAGAAACATAATTGGGATGAACCATGATTCGAACCCACAATCATAGGTTTCTGGCGTGCCCAAGGAACGCAACTCTGCACAGCTAATTGCGGGGCCTTAGACGACTGGACCACCCGTGCCCCCTCACTTTGTGATTATATTTCTTAATGCGGTGTACAATTCACAACAGACGAGGTCCATGGTCCAAACAGAGAATCGTCTTTATAGACGTGTTGGACTGCGAAAGGAACTCTTACAACCCAATGCCTCGGATATCTGCAAATAAACTTGAAAACATATTTACACACATATTTTGCACAAATTCTGATCTTCCTTTCATTGATTATTTAAAAATATACAGTTTATCCATTTGATATACACGATAAAATGAAGTTAAATTATATGGAAAATGGCAATTTAAAAAATAAAATAAAATAAAAATATTTACCGAAATTATGCCATTAATAGAACTTACGATACCGCGTGGGATCCGGGTTATAATTGGTCCCCATCAACCTGTGCTTGTGGTAAGATACAACGAAGTGGATCGGGCGGTCATGCTGGATGACTCGGTTGATTGGGTGTCATCGTACCCCGTCGGCGTGGGACGCTGCAAATATTATCACTCACTCGTTTGTCTGGTCCGCCGTCATGTTTCACCAAAAAAACCTCAAACAAACAAACTCAAAAGAATATAAACGTCGTTATTCTGGAATAATCTTTCAATGGTTAGTGAGGGTATTGCGTAGTCCAGTGGATAAGCGTTGGCCTATCGAGCCAAGGACACGGGTTCTGTTCCCAACAATATCTGGCTTCACTGCTATGATAGTGCTAAAAGTGGCGCTGACATAAAACGTCAACACCAGAGAACAACCAGTCTCGATTATTGGACAGATTCCATTCCATTGGGCCTAAAAGGCAAAATATCGGTGTAAAACGTATGAAAATCAGCGATGACACCAGATGTTCGCGAAAAAATGGTAAGCATGTCCTCATTCCATACTCTCTGACTGTGATACTTGTTGTAATGTAGTGTACAGAGTTGTAGCTGTGAGGTACGGGTGAGTTGAGCAGAAATGTATGGATTCCTAGAAGGGACATTGTCGCGTTGTCGCATTGTTGCCTTTATAAACACAAGCAAAATGTGTCAAAATAAACCAAAGCGTGACAATGCGACAACGCGCCATTTTTGCCATTTGTCGCATTGCCGCGCCTTGAATATTATTATATATTGAACGAAAGGGAGACAATGTGAAAAAACGACAGTTTTCAAGCTCAAAATAGGTCCCGTTTTCGCTTTGTGGCGCATTGGATATGTTTTTGTTAGGGCGATAACGCGACAATGTCTCTTCTAGGATTCTGTAGAAATGGGATTACAAGTCCATGGCAGGTAACAAGTACCATCTTTTTACGTCTTTTCGGCAGACGTATCTCCGGGCAGACGCTGGGCGTGAGGAGTTTCAACTTCTGTATTTTTTTCAATGCGACGTGTCGGTACAGATGCTGGTACCTTTATCAAGCAAGTGATGAAGCAAACGTTTGGCAGAACATGGTTTTACAGCTAAGAATATATATAAATAATATGTTGAAATGATAGTGACGGTGTAATGACGATAAATGTCTGTAAAATTCATTTCGGGCGTGTAGATCAATATCGGGTGTGTCCACCATGTTGGGCAATACATGCAGGACGCCCTGATGGTATACGGTTGATTAACTTGCGTATGGTTGCCCTTGCTATTGCCCGCCATTCCGCGTGATTTGTTTGTTTGTTTGTTGTTTAACGTCACATTCCGCAATATTCAAGCTATATGACAGCGGTCTGTAAATAACCGAATATGGACTAGACAACCCAATGATTAATTTCATGAGCATCGGTCCACGCAATTGGGACCGATGACATGCATCAACCAAGTCAGCCAGCCTGACCACCCGATCCCGTTAGTCGCCTTTTACGGCAAGCATGGTTTGCTGAAGACCTATGCTACCCCGGTTCTTCACGGGTCCAATTGCACAAGGACAGGACGTTGTTAGCGTCACACCCTTCACAGGGCGCCTTCCTTTTAGACGGGCTGCATTGGACCGGGTTTTAACCGTAGGATGTTGAAATTCGCCATCCTGTTAGTGTACGAAATTATCTATTAATAACAGGAGCAGATTTGAATCTATTGCACAACGATCTTCTCTAGTTGTCGTTAGTTTGGGCCTGCCACGCCCATGTCTCATTGCAACCCCACCCGTTTGACGGTACTTGTCCCACACTCGAGATGTTACACGTTTTGATTTGTCAAACATTCGGGCCTCATGGGATATTGACGTTCCCCTTTATCGTACCCACAATTCGCCATTTCTTTCTGTTCATTGAGATACTGCCTCGGAGGCATTTTTAAGCGTGTGCCTCGCTCAACGGCAGTAGTGATTGGGAGATCCCCTACAGGCGCACACGCTTTGGCTTCTGTGTGCACGTGTATCACGTGCTGTTCATGCATGGTGTGAAATTTCATTGTGATTAGAAGTTGCGTTCAGATGCAACGCAGATGTAAATGTACACCTCAACTACTTTCAAATCATAAGATTCCGTATTTTGTGCCAATAGTACATATAGATACATATATTAAGGAAATCAACAACCAAAGGTGAAACATGAAAAGATGAAGCCCGTGGCAAGGTGGTTGGTTGCAGTGTGTGATTCTAGTTAATGAGGGTGGAGAATAGGTCCTCAGCAACCCATGCTTGCTGTAAGATGCGATTGTGCTTGTCGTAAGAGGCGACTAACGGGATCGGGTGGTCAGGCTCGCTGACTTGGTTGATGCATGTCATCGTATCCCAATTGCGTGGATCGATGCTGATGATGTCAATCACTGGATTGTCTGGTCCAGACTCGATTATTTACAGACAGCCGTCATATAGCTTTAATTTTGCTCAGTGCGGCGTTAAACAACAAACAAACAAACGAAGTTGATGAAGTGATGGTTGGCTGATGGGAAGCAGCGGCCTTGTTCTGGACTTCTGGTGCAGCAAGGCATGCGTAATCCTTTGTAGAACTGCTTCACCTGTCAAGTGTTTAATCATAAATTGATAGAAGTTTCGTGGTATGCACTTGAATACATTGATATTGACACACCAGGTGTGCACAAGTTTGCGGACTACGTCACTGATCACGGTTTCCCATCTTGTTGATTTTTACGTTTAAAATTGAAAATTTTCTGTAAACAGTTACTGTGATGTTTGTCCTCTTAAATTATTTGTTATTCATTCTGAATATAATGTCTGTGAAATTATGTAAAGTGAATAATAAGATATACTCTATTTATGTTACAGTTACATTGTTTGTTTGTTTGTGGTTTAACGCCGCACTCAGCAATATTCCAGCGGGTGGACGGCGGTCTGTTGACCAGACAACCCAGTGATTGACATCATGAACATCGATCTACACAATAGGGATACGATGATCCCTGTAACTTTGATACGACATCTTCTAAAATGCCACTGACATATATTTAAGGAGCTGCGATCGGATGTCCCGTGATGCAGGTAACGCGTGCTGGGTTCCTGTGTTATTTTCGAATGCTAAATGAATGAGTCTTTGTTTCACTGGTGGCTCCATTGTGTAAAGCGCCGCATTTCGCTGTGTCGAGTTACGTCCCTTGGGCACGCCAGAAACCTCTGATTGTGGGTTCGAATCCCGGTTCGCCCCGATTATGTTTCTAGGTTTGTCAGCACCATACCCGTGCTCGTGGGTTTCACCGAAGTGGTAAACGTCTGAGACCTGCATCACTTCGGGCTTTCCCCCCACACTAAGTTGAAACGCCGTGGTTTAACTGGAATACTGTTAAAAGCGGCGTTAAACCAAATTTCCTCATTAACTATGTGGTCTTTGTGACGAAAGAGAAACGGTTTATTGTATCAGTTAATTGTGGGTAGATACAGATGAATTAACTCCTGTGTTGTACGTAAGCGTGTGTCATTTTTATTCATATATTTTTATTAGTTCTAACCCTCTGAGATTCCATGCCGCAGTTTAACATGAATTCCCCTCTCAGACACAGTATACTGACTCCGAGCCGACCAATCCTTGTTGTAGATCATTAATGCCGAGTGCCAGGCAGGGAAACAACAAGTACCATCTTTTAACGTCTTTTGGTATGACGCGGCCGGGGATCGAACCCCGGACCCTCCGCTCTCTGGAGCCATGTTCTACCACCAGACAACAGTCCTTTCAGTAACGACGTTTCAAACCACTTGGGGCTCGTTGATTCTACTTTTGGATCTTTCCATTGTCAATCTCATTAAAATCAGATCTTAGTTCTTGCTATCGCTTAACAAAGATCTGAGGACTCCCATTACGGGTCACGTCAGAACGACCTTTCATCCGACCAATCAAAGCGTCGCTTACCAGATCATGAAAGTGACAGTCGGAATGTGCTTTCTAATCATGCAACCTCGAAAATGTTAACACGGGGTATTCCGAACGACAGTTTCGGCCCGTATGACTGATTCCGTCAAAATTATCGTATATCTCTCGCTTCCGTTGGATAAACATTTGAACGGATGAGGCGTTGCATAGTACGTGGGAAGCACTGCCATACAATCTCAACCATATATTAGACATTCCGGAATGTTTGTTTGTTCAGTTTTCAAAATTTTAATCGAGAAGTGTGTCACATATTTTTCAAGCGTAGCCTGAAATGGAAGTCGCCAGGTTGAAACAAGTGTCGTAAAGCTCGAGAAAGCTGCTTTCTAATTGGCTGATGTCGACTTCTTGTTAGTCATTTCAGTGGTCGGTTAAAGTTCGCGAAAGGTCGTTGTCACGTGACCCGTAATGGGATGTCCTCAGATCTTTGTTTAGCGGCAGCGAGAACTTAGATCTGATTTTAATGAGATCGTGCCATTGTATGATCGAAAGCTAAGCAATAAAGAATATGTTGGAAAAAATAGTTTATTCGATAGCAGTATCTAAGTTTATGACTGAGAACATGCACTGAGAGAGAGGGTGAATATTGCTTTACGCCGCATCAGCAATTCCACTGAGAGATAGACAGACACGTGACTGGTCACATGACACGATGGACACGTGTGTGGTTTAGCAGAGGAACGAGAGCGGCACATACTGATGTTCATAGCTAAAATATTAGTTATTTGAAGTTATTTGTTTGTCTAACTGCAGTTCCACATGTTCGACACGACACAGAAAGACCGAACGTTTACAAACATCACTTGAGCATTATCAAACTGTACAGCACTAAAGTCGACTCATCGTTTATAACAACACCGTGCAATCACGTACACACCAATCGTCTAGGATTCTGAGGAAGTTTGGCTAATTCCGGTGTACAAAGTTTTCACTTGCTCACACTGAAGAAAGTTCGGCTCTATCCGTTGTTTCATATGTCTGTATTTAAGTTCCGAATGAACCATTTCGGAAGTTACTTGACATTTGGAAAATCTCGTCTCAGGTCCGAGGAGACAAGATTCTTCTAGACAGTTCCGATTCAACAAGCATGTAAGTCACTTGCCATTCCGGAGAAGATCGAACTTTTCCAACAGCGTCTTTCAAAACCTCCACAGAAGTTCTGTTTGAACTCATACACACACTATCACCGTAATGTGGTTTTGTCATTACGATTCATCTAATGTGATAATTGTCACATGACAGTCACGTGTCATGTAAGCGAGATGCACATGAACATCCCCTGGTCACGTGTCTCTGTTGACATAACCGGTCAGTCATAGACATCACAGCTGCACATATCACATGTCACATATATACTATATGTTTGAAAACAGTTTCAAGACACAGTACTGTTTAAAGAGAAACACAAAGATGGAGTGAGTGTGAACGAATGAAAATTGCATTCATTATTTTCAAGGGGTCGGGCTATATTTTCACATTCGGATATTCTCGGCTGATTTCGGTTTCCGAAAAAGGCTACGGAAATCTACCTAAATATTCCTAATGTTGTAATATGCAATATTTGTTCACAATCACCCCTTCTACCTGTTCCCCCTTAAAGAGCTCTGTTCATAGTTGCACCTCGCTTATTCTATGACGTCATCCATGTGATAACGATTTCTCACTGGTTGCCGTTGTAACGCACAAGTGATCTAAATGGGATTGGTTGGCGCTTGCATTGACGGTGTCATAGTGAACGTTGTTAGCGAATCTCTTCCTTTTTGCACGTTGTGTTCTACAAAGAAGAGCTCCACTTAAGTCATATAGATGGTCCCTAAACTGCTGACTCATTGTACAATACAATACAAAGTTGATGGCGTTATTTATCAACGCCGCCATGTCTAAAACGTCCGCGAGGAGAAAATACACATTTCTAAAAAAGTACTGATACGAGGCACTCATAAGTATAATAAAACTCTGTGGGAGCTCCGTGAGCATGTACATCACTATAATCACCAGCAACATCGTCGTTGTACACTTGTGGCGCTTCTTCTTCTTCTGCGCATGATCGGAAGCGTTGAACAATCGCTTCTGACGCTTGGCACTTTCGTGAAGCTTCTTCAGAAGGAGCCCCATGAAGATTGATATTAACGTACACGGCAGGAGCTTACCGACGATGGCGTATAGCCAAAACGCAACCAATGCTCGGGTCGTTGGGTTATTGTTACCGAGGGCGTAGTCGTTTAGTCTGTAGATGCTGGCGTTTAAGCTGGGGACGGTGACTTCATAGACATCGGTGATGAGATAGTTAGGCATCATTATAAGCGCCACAAACGCTGGGATGACACAGATCAAAGCACACGTGACCTTGATGCTCGGGCAGCGTTTGGTCTGGAGGTACACGTATCGCATCACCGCCATAAACACCGCCAGCCAGATAGATATGCAATGACTTGTCGTCGTGACGTTGCCATGGATGGCGAGGAACGTGGTCCAGCCGTAGGAGTAGCGTTCTGGGGACGGCGCGAGGTCGCAGATAAGGTAGAAGTGGACAGCATATGGAATATACGACGACATCGTCACAATGTCTGAGATAGCTATGGCACATAGTATGCAGTTGATCGCCGTTCGCATCGACTTACGGGTGAGGACAGTGACGTTGAGGATGTTGGTGAAGATGCCGAAGATGCAGATGATGAGACTGAGATAGCCGTGGATGTGCCAATACCAATGGGCGAACTTCTCAAGGTTGGCGTTAACCACACCGAACGGCTCCTTCGCCGCGTCCGTAATGTTGGACGACATCGTTGGTGGGGTCGCTTCTCAGTTCCTTGGTGTGGCTGGTTCACAACATTTCATCTGAAACACAGAAACATGATTCGTTATTGTGTAACATGCAAATGTTGTCAGTCATATACACAACCATGTACAAATTTGTTTCTTCAGTCGTAACCCCAATTCTGACCCCGTCCAGCTTTTTCTGATCAGCTTTTTTTTATTACCAACCCATCCTCCTCCGACCGGTACATCCAGTTGCTAGGTAAGGTTCCAGTCCTTGGGGCAATTATGCCTGTCGTAAGAGGCGATTAACGGAATCGGGTGGTCAGGCTCGCTGACTTGGTTGATGCACGTCATCGTATCCCAATTGCGTGGATCGATGCAGTATTACAGCTATAACACCGTAGTCTATAAAAAGTCGAGTCTGGTGCAAACAATCCAGTGATTGATGTAATGAGCATCGATCCACGCAACTGTGATACGATAACATTCTCATTCTCATGATGTCAATCACTGGATTGTCTGGTCCAGACTCGATTATTTACAGACCGCCGTCATATAGCTGGAATATTGCTGAGTGCGGCGTTAAACAACAAACAAACAAATCCAGTCCATGGAGGTCATCTAACAATTCGCAGGTGAGAAAGCTCATTTAAGTCGTATTTATTAGTTGTTCATCATATACACATGACGATTGTGGAACAAAATAGTTCACGAAGACACGGCTTAAAGTGAGGTGAGGTGAAATTGGGTTTAACGTGGCGTTCAAGATTATTGCACTTTTATAGCAACGTTGCATGCATGTATGTATGTGACTGCTTGTACGTGTCCGGACTTTATGCCGGTTTTATAGTGGTAGCCCACTAAGATACCATGACCCATGGATAGCCCACTCACTCCGCGCCAACCAGTCCTGTGACAAGATATTTGGTGACAATATTTGGTGGTCACTGCTTCGTTTTTCCGAGTCCGAACAATTTTCGTATTTTTAGAAGACACTATTTTCAGGATATACAATAAATCCTGCGAAATATTTTATATATATAGATAAAAGATGAGGTCAAATTATTATTATTACTTACTCTTGCCCATGTGTACATAACACCATCTGACTACTCGTAGTCTTACTCTTGTCCATATGAACATAGCACCATATGACTACTCGTAATCTAACCCTTGCCCATATGAACATAACACCATCTGACTACTCGTAGTCTTACTCTTGTCCATATGAACATAGCACCATATGACTACTCGTAATCTAACCCTTGCCCATATGAACATAACACCATCTGACTACTCGTAGTCCAACCCTCGCCCATATGTACATAACACCATCTGACTACTCGTAATCTAACCCTCGCCCATATGTACATAACACCATCTGACTACTCGTAGTCTTACTCTTGTCCATATGAACATAGCACCATCTGACTACTCGTAATCTAACCCTCGTCCGTATGTACATAACACCATCTGACTACTCGTAGTCCAACCCTCGTCCATATGTACATAACACCATCTGACTACTCGTAATCTAACCCTCGTCCATATGTACATAACACCATCTGACTACTCGTAGTCTTACTCTTGTCCATATGTACATAACACCATCTGACTACTCGTAATCTAACCCTCGTCCATATGTACATAACACCATCTGACTACTCGTAGTCTTACTCTTGTCCATATGTACATAACACCATCTGACTACTCGTAATCTAACCCTTGCCCATATGAACATAACACCATCTGACTACTCGTAGTCCAACCCTCGCCCATATGTACATAACACCATCTGACTACTCGTAATCTAACCCTCGCCCATATGTACATAACACCATCTGACTACTCGTAGTCTTACTCTTGTCCATATGAACATAGCACCATCTGACTACTCGTAATCTAACCCTCGTCCGTATGTACATAACACCATCTGACTACTCGTAGTCCAACCCTCGTCCATATGTACATAACACCATCTGACTACTCGTAATCTAACCCTCGTCCATATGTACATAACACCATCTGACTACTCGTAGTCTTACTCTTGTCCATATGTACATAACACCATCTGACTACTCGTAATCTAACCCTCGTCCATATGTTCATAACACCATCTGACTACTCGTAGTCCAACCCTCGTCCATATGTACATAACACCATCTGACTACTCGTAATCTAACCCTCGTCCATATGTACATAACACCATCTGACTACTCGTCCTCTAACCCTCGTCCATATGTACATAACACCATCTGACTACTCGTAATCTAACCCTCGTCCATATGTACATAAAACCATCTGACTACTCGTAGTCTTACTCTTGTCCATATGAACATAGCACCATATGACTACTCGTAATCTAACCCTTGCCCATATGAACATAACACCATCTGACTACTCGTAGTCCAACCCTCGCCCATATGTACATAACACCATCTGACTACTCGTAATCTAACCCTCGCCCATATGTACATAACACCATATGACTACTCGTCCTCTAACCCTCGCCCATATGAACATAACACCATCTGACTACTCGTAGTCTAACCCTCGCCCATATGTACATAACACCATCTGACTACTCTTAGCCTTACTCTTGCCCATATGTACATAACACAATCTCACTAACTCGTACAGCAACAGAGCCGGTAGATTCCGTGCTGGAAGAGACACAATGTCCCCAGTTCTCCTTGAATGTCGCAAGAGCCGACTGAAATGGCTTATCAATGCCTCAAGAAAAGTTCAACCACTTTTTGTGGAATGTAACGTGATAAAATGACTCCAAACCTAAACACACAAACGGGAGCTACATGGTTGATGCAGACTGTCCTACAACCGACCATAGACACGTCAATCATGTCAAAAAGTTACCTAAAAAACATTCATTGTTGATGGTTTTCCTCCCTGTGAAAGTTGATAGCCCCTATCTACAGATGCCAGCAGTGTGTTAATCCTTGGTCGATACTTTCAGCAATACCTTCTCTATGTAATACCATGCATGTCTTGGAGCTATTTGACCTTTTGAGGCTACACTGTCTGCGTAAAAGGAACGACGTGGCTGAACAATCCACAGTGGCGATGAACACATGGGACAGTTGCGAGAAGTCATTATGTCAACTTGAGGGATACTTGCCATCGACTAAATCAGGGACCTTTATATGTACTCTAAAGGTTGAAACAAACCGCTCGTCGATCGAGACCGGTTCGCGATGGTGTGCGTTGGTTTGTGTACTACTAGACAAATTCAACGCTCATCGATCGCGACGGTGACGTCGAGTAATCGCTCCCCGGTTGCGATGAGAGTAGTGCGGTAATAAGTAAATTATGAGACTTCTCCGTGATTTATGATTCCAATGTAGGAGTACAGTACTCAACTTTAGAGTTGGATATTCCTATTGTTCAAATATAGTGAGTGAAATAAATTACCTCGCATCAGCAATTTGTCAAATATTCGACGACGATTACTCTACAATCGAGCATGTTCTTACTACCAATATTTCAAAGAGCGTCTTATGACGTTGTTTGATCAAGGTTACAACATTCAATGCCTCCAAAATGTTTTGGGTGGACATATGGAGCATATTTCCAAATTTGACGCACCAGTGACAAAACTGATGTCCGATGCAATTCACTATTGTCACTTGTACCATATGTTCCAGTGTTTTTTTCCCCAGGTAAACAATTGACCTGCCTTTGCGTGTGTTTGTGATGGGGCCACGTGTGGGTCATGATACGCTCAACTTTTCGCGAACACCTTGTATAATCACTATTTGATATTGATTCCCAAACACACGTTTATGATATAGTTGGTATCGTTCAATTGATTCTGTATGAAGAGTTAACGACGTTTGCAGATGGGATCAGTAATATTATATTATGTTCATTTTGGCATTAATAATAGTTTATGTCCAATGGTTGTGCTGGTAAAAACCAATCTTGGTGTACTCCACCTGGTTGCTGGAATATTGTAAAACATATCTAAGTCTCTCTTTGCGCAGTAACTTCAGGATATGACTGCCAAAACGCGGATTGAAACTTTTAATTATCCTCTTTGATAATCATTTCCATAATCATAGCAGGGGCCATTGTACGATTCCAACTCTATGATAAACATGTGTTTTTGAATCACTATAAAATAGTGATGATACCAGGTACTCGCTAAAAGTGGAACGCATCCCCGCCCCCGCAGGATTTGCAGAGCACGTGTACCGTCAAATGGGGGTCATGTTTTTAATCAAGGTGCGCCGCTATTTTGTTTGAATCAAATGCAAGTGATATGAGAGGTGGAATCCGATTGGTCCATAGGAGGGACATAGAAGGGACATAACCCGCAATAGCCACTGGTGGCGCCACGATCGAACCCAGAAATTGCAGCCTAGTTCGGCAAGGGTGGAGACTGGACTTTTACAGTCAGTTAAGTCCCTTGCCTCAGGAAGATGGGAGTTTGTGAGCCATTCCACTGATGTACCCACCTGAACTAGACATACAAGAGACCAGTGAAACAGTCTACTCTGTTTCATATTTAGATCTATACATAAAGATTCAGTGACAAAAGATTATCCACAAGACTGGTGATAAGAGGGATGACTTCAACCTTCCAACAGTCAACTTGGCGATTGGAAAATTATTGAACGATCTCAGAAGGTAAACATCCTGGATACATTCCCATGCTTTGATTTTGCCAGCCTCAATAGAAATTCCGCTTCATGTGCATAAAGAAACAGATCAGCATGGAGGTGAGCACGCATAGTGCCATTGGGATGCCTACTTCTTGCTCCTTATTAGAACTATATAGTCTAATCTCAATACTTCACTTCGAGTTAAAGATGTTTCATTGATTAACGTACATTTGTAACAAAGTTTCAATTATGAACGAATAAATTAAAATATTAAATAATAACAGTGACAACTCAGATTTCATGGAGGTGAGCACGCATAGTGCCACTGGGATGCCTACTTCTTGCTCCTTATTAGAACTATATAGTCTAATCTCAATACTTCACTTCGAGTTAAAGATGTTTCATTGATTAACGTACATTTGTAACAAAGTTTCAATTATGAACGAATAAATTAAA